GAAAGATGTTTTACTATTTGTTGCCAAAGGCTTTGAACTAATGGGCACTCCCACATGACATGCAGGAAAGTCCCTACTTGATTCAAGTTACATAGATTACAATTTGGGGAAGAGGATATCTTAATCATGAAGCGCCGTTTTGGTGTCAGATACGTGCGATATAGAAAGTTGATATTAGTTACCTTATTGTTTAAATTTTGTGAGGAAAAAGCAATATTTCTCCAAACTCTAGACCAGTCTGTAGATGATTCAGGGCAATCCTTACTCCATACCTTTGTTATCGCTAAAGGGGTCTGAATATTTTCCAACAGCGTATTATAAATTACAGAAACATGCCCTTTAGGTAGGACAGATATTTTCTTAAACATTTGCATTATTGGATGATTAATAGGTTTCCTGTCAGTCATTATACCTGCTGCTCTTAGGGCAGAACGTAATTGCAAATATAAAAAGAATGAATTTGATGACAATTTAAATGTTTCCCTCAAGTCCTGGAAGCTTCTTAACCCATCGTCATTCAAAATGTCTCCTAAACTGTGGATTCCTGCTTCAACCCATTGAGGTGAGATAAAGTGGTCCCCACCAGTCTTCAGAAGGCTATTATGGAATAATGGAGTACTTGCATGCCATTTGGATGTCCAATTATATATTCTTTCAATTTTCCTGAAATTTTGAATTGCATTGGCTATCACTGAACCGTACTCCAGCTTACATTTATTAATAGAGAAACCTGTAAACAAACAATCCTTTAAAGAGGCAGGAGCCACCAAATTCTTCACAATGTTCAGCCATGGAGGTGAAGCTCTCTCACTGAACCAATTTAACAGAGGACGAAGAGTAAGGGCGTGGAAATAAAGCTTAAAGTTAGGAACCGATAACCCTCCCAGCTCTTTCTTTCTTTGTAAATTGATTAACTTTATTTTAGGTCGTCTGCCCCTCCATAAAAACCTGGTAATAATGCTGTGTATTTTCTCCCAATATCTTGGAGGAGGTGCCAAAGGTAACATGTAGCTACAGAAATTAACTCTAGGAAGCACATTCATTTTAATTATTGAAATTCTACCAGACAGGAATATAGGTAACTTTTGCCATCTTTCCAGGTCTTTTTTGACCATACTAAGAGAAATTCTATACATTCCTCCTTGCTCACAGAGTTCAATGGTAAAAGGGAAGACTTAGACCAGTTTATCTTATAGCTGGAGACATAACTAAATTGTTCAAATTTGCTAAGAATGTTTGGAAGAGAGTACTTAATATCAGAAAAAAATAAAAGGACGTCGTCAGCAAATAAGGAAATATGATGCAGAGTGGATTTAATTTTTATTGGGGTAATGTTTGTAGATAACCTAAGAGACTGTGCCAGAGGCTCCAATGATAATATAAACAACATAGATGAAATTGGATCTCCTTGCTGACTGCTCCTGCTTAATTTAAAAGGAGGGGAGTGTATATTACTTGTAACTACACTAGCTGATGG